CTTACCTCTGTGTATGCCAACAAGGGTTTCTCCACTAAGTACTAAGTCATGTTTTGCTTGGGGATCAAATACTTATTTTACTCACTGAACTGCAACTCAATTTATAACATTTGTATCATGGGTTTTTTCTTTTTGGTCAGATTCAGTATTCAAATGTGCTATTTGACTATTAAAATACCGCATTACTGTGGTGAATTCCTGCTGGGTGAGCCCAGGAGGAGGAATACCTGATGAAGTCAGTGGCATAGCATCAAGTAAATAGAAACATTTCATGCCTTCAGTGTCAGGACCCTTAGGAGGCACCCAGGACAGCAGGGCTGTTTGCCATGTATCTAGGATACGACATGATGTACTGCAGGGCAGGGGCAACATAGCTTGCAGTACAAAGCTAGGCCTCAAATATGAACCTGACTGCTGTGTAGCAAAAGGCAGTTAGGTGGTCAAAGGGGACCAAGTCACTGCAGACAGGTAGTAGAGACAAATTGAGGAAATATATATCTATATATACATACAGTACATACACACACTATATTATTATTGGGACGCCTGCCTTTACACGCACATGGACTTTAATGGCATCCGAGTCTTAGTCCGTAGGGTTCAATATTAAGTGGGCTCACCCTTTGCTAGAACAGCTTCAACTCTTCTGGGAAGGCTGTCCACAAATGGTTTAGGAGCGTGTCTATGGGAATGTTTGACCATTTTTCCAGAAGCGCATTTGTGAGGTCAGGTACTGATGTTGGAGAAGGCCTGGCTCGCAGTCTCCGCTCTAATTCATCCCAAAGGTGTTCTATCGGGTTGAGGTCAGGACTCTGTGCAGGCCAGTCAAATTCCTCCACCCCAAACTCGCTCATCCATGTCTTTATGGACCTTGCTTTGTGCACTGGTGCGGTCATGTTGGAACAGGAAGGGGCCATCCCCAAACTGTTCTCACATAGTTGGGAGCATGAAATTGTACAAAATGTCTTGGTATGCTGATACCTTAAGAGTTCCCTTCACTGGATCTAAGGGGCCAAGCCCAACCCCTGAAAAACAACCCCAAACCATAATCCCCCCTCCACCAAACTTTACACTTGGCACAATGCAGTCAGGCAAGTACCGTTCTTCTGGCAACCGCCAAACACAGACACATCCATCGGATTGCCAGACAGAGAAGCGTTATTCATCACTCCAGAGAACATGTCTCCACCTATCTAGAGTCCACTTCTCGAGAGTCCAGTGGCGGTGCGCTTTACACCACTTCATCCGATGCTTTGGAGGTCTTTAGCTATTTACTCTGTGAGGCTTCCTCCATGCTGAATGGAGAGAAAGAGAATGTGGAGCACGTGCGACACTCCACCTTGCAGATGAAGTTAACAAATCAATCCCTCAGTATTAACTCCTTCTGCATTGGAACCAGTGGAAGCAGGAATTTCTCAAACTGCACCCAGCAGTCCTAATAACTTGCAGTCCTGGAAAGTGCCACAATTCAAAGCCCAGTGTCAGGAGGCCAAGTTCCAGGTTAGCTCCACAATGTCCAGTCCAGCAGGGTCCAGGTACAACACACAAAAGGGTTAGGAAAAGCGGATACAGATAAATTCACAAAAAGACCAGATCAGCACGAATCTTGACTGAAGAAAACAAAAGAAAGCTAGCAAAAAAGATTAGACTTTTCTCCTTGGACAGTAGCAAATAATGGAGGCATGCTAAGAGTAATAGGGGTTATACTGGCTGGACCACAATATTTTTGTTTGCCAGTGTCCAATCCACATGTAGGCAGCAGTATAACTCAACAGTCTCTGAACCCATGTGTCCCTCCATGGACAAGAAAGAAATCAGTTTTAGATAAACTGGTACTTTAAGGCCTCATTCACACACAACGCAAGAGCAAAATTGTACACATCTTTGTAAATGCGTATATACGAGCAAACTGTATGCAATCCCAGAATGCATCATTAATAACAGAAACTTCAATGTACGCACGCGCATAAAATACGCAGAAATTCCGAGCCCGGACGCATCTCGGTTCCATTTTATTTTTGCGCATCTTTACACAGCGCAAAAATACGGCTCCATACGCAGCTCTGTGTATGAATCCATTTATTTGCATATGCTGCATACGGAGAAAAACACTGCATGCATTTGCGCGAAGCGTATAATACGGTAGTGTGAATGAGGCCTAAAAGAAACATAGTGCAAAATGTTTCTCCATTTTGTCTTAATATATTAGTGCAGTTATAATGTAGGTTTGTCTTTCTTGTAATATAACTACCCGGTCTGCTTTAGTTCACCTAGTATAGCATACTGACAGTAACGTATATATATAAAACAAAAAACATATCGTGTACAAAGTTTAGAACGCCGACATTTAAAACTGTTAAGCATGGTTCCCACAACGTGTTGCAATTAAGCAAGTGTCTAAATTTTTATCTTGTACATTTTAAGCAGATAAGTTGTGCTGTAACAGCTGTGCAAAAAATAAGGAAAGAAGTACACAGAAATTCTACAGCTGGAACCACTTGGAGCATGAAATCAAGAAGCTGATATCAAATTACAACACAGTACCAAAATGTATTCGTAGCGAACAATACAAAAACAATATATTTAATTATGCGATTAAGGAGAAATGTTCCATTCATAACAGCAAGTCTTAAAATAGATCTGAAAAAACAAACAAACAAACAAACAAACAAACGGAGAACTACATAGCACAACAGTCTTGTTCCTGCTTTTACTTCAAGAGTAAACTCCCCAGAGCCCCCCTGGGAGATTCATCTTCCAGCTTGCAGATTATGAATCACTGTTATGCTTTAAAAAAAAAAAAAAATCCTTTTGCATGTCATACCTTAGGGCTATGCATGGCCTGACCGAAAAAATCCTTGGCAGGTGATCCCTAAAACCTGCGAAATGCAACACAAGCATCCCCTGCTCCCCAGGGGCAATGCTCAGAACTGGCTGCTCAAACCTTGAGCACTGTATTGTGGCAGGCTGGGCACAAATGTGGCACAGGGGCACTGCTGGCAGATTCTGGCAGTGGGGGAAAAGGGAAAATGCAAGAGTAGTCACTTTATGGTGACTGATGTGCAATTTAATGTTTAGTTCTTTATTTTTTTTTCTATAGATGGCATTTAACCACCTCACAACCAGACATTGTGTCCTGAGGTGTAATGCTAAGTATACATTTTTTTATTGGAAATATTTTAACAGAAATTAAGTGATACAGATTTTTTTTTTTACATTTGCTCTTTTTTTTATTCATGCTATATACAGAATTTGGGGATGAATATGGAGCAAAGGCGATACCGCACCCAAAGAGGAAATGTATAATAATGCAGCAAAGATAAGGGCTTTTAAAAGGTATCAGAAACACCACTGATGTATCACAAAAGTAGGTTAAGATTACATCTTTATTTTATACAAAAATATAAAAGAAAATTTGATTGTGCAAAATAAAACAATTAAAACAGTGATCTATCCTTCATATTGTGGCATACAATCAAGACCTGCCTTATAAAAGATACCAATAATATTGATTACTTATTCAAAGACCATAGAGTCCCAAAAATGCGATATTGTCATGATATCATGGTATCAAGGGGTGCCAATGTTATTGAACGCATTTCGTGTCCAATATAGGGGCTTCTTCAGGAGGAAGGAAGAAGATACTATTTTAGCCTTCCTGCAAATGGTCACCCCAACCTAACAGATTATCTTCTTCCTTCGTAGTAGTAATAGTCAATAGAAAAACTATTACAACACTGAAAAATGGTCTGGGAAGGAATGGAGTGTAACATGCAGATACTGAGGCGGTTAAAGTGGACTATTCAGTAATTTTACAAGTCAGCCTAAAGAAATGCCTAACATGTCTATACACATCAACTTAATAATTTTGCACACAAGCTCTACATTTTATCATTATATATAGCCTTTAACCCCTTCACCACCAGACCGCTTTTTGCACACATATTAAAATGTACATTATAGGCCTGATTACTTTAAACCCTTCAGAATTATGTATTTCCTGAAAGCAGAGACTTGTACGCATCAAGGTGTGGTTTTGTGCCGAGTTAGCCACATGTCCCCATTGAGTTCAATAGGGCCTGCACCCGCGACAAATGCAGCAAAGAAGCTCATGTAGTAGATTTTGCGACACACATTCTGCGTTTTTTGGTTCCATGTTTTCATGCACATGCAATCCTCTAGCTGATGCTCTCAGTCTCTCGGGTTGAGTGTGTGCAACAGGGCAGCGTTCACCAATTAAAAATGTTCTGTGCCACCCATAGTAACCAAATTGCCTTCCATTTTTTAACCTGAACAGGTGAAATAGCAGCAGGAATTGTTTGTTGATGGGCAGCTTAGATGAGAAAATACAACAAGTTAAAAAAATATATATAATCAGTTTTTTTATATACTTAAACACTTCCATATGTTTACACTGGAACCCAGAATATTGTTGTTTTGATCATGCTGTAATATTATACGTCACAAATAAAAGTACACAGCTGTAGTATGTCAGTTCAAAACAAAAGGAATACAACTATGAATCCAATCTGTACATCTTTCAATCCAAATCATTTTGTCAACATTCCAGAGATTGGTTAAAAAAACAACTACATTTTGGGGTCAAGTACGTTTGAGGTGTAAATATTCAAACATATTTGCAAACAATAAAAGTAAATCACCAATCAGAATGCAGTGGGGCTCCTGCCCGGCTACTGACAAAGCGGTCGTATGTAGTCTTTCCATACAGCACTGATTTCAATTCCCCTTGGCTCACCACCTAACTACACCCCTCTCTTTTATTTAATTTTTTCACCTTCTGCCCATTCTGCAGCTTTTTTTTAAACATTGGTAATTCTAATCTAATAAAACAGGATGGATTTTGGTAAGTACAAATCTATGAAGGGAGATAGTAGGATCGTTTAGGCCAGGGGGGGGGGGAAGAATAACTGCACTTTTTTTTTTTAAGTTTGGAGCAGCTGAACAATGCCATCTGAATATATATAATATTAAATACTTACATTGAATAATGTTGTCACATCTGTTTACCAAAATAGAACCGACTTCTAGATCTGTCTGGACACCTTTATTCTGGAATGACTGATTTGTATCTTCCACATCCAAATTTCCATTTTCACATTTTTCTAAAACAGAAAATGATTTAAGATATAAATTTACTGGTTCTGCTTTTTCATGGTCAAATAACACATTACCCAGCACATTTGTACTGCCTGATGTAGTCCTGGGCAACCTGTTTCCCCCAGCAGCTGAAAAACAGGACAGAGGAAGTCCTACTTTCTACTGCAAAGAACATTATGCAGCTTGGCAGATCTATTGTCTGTAGAAGTGATAAAACATAAATGAGGCTTTGAAATATTACAAAATGTTCTAATTATATTTGCCAGCTGATTTGAAAAATGTTCCGGAGGGCTTGGCAGCGAAAGGGTTAAACAGTCATATTTCACAATGATGGTGAATTCCTCTGTACTTTCTTAGGCTTATTCAACAAAACAAAGAGCAATGTTCAGAGTGCAGTGACCCAGATCAAATTTTCTGATTGGTAGCAACAGGCTACTGCAATTTGCACATTATCACTGCTTTTTCTATTTAATGAAACAGTGCACATCATAGGATCTCAAGCAGGGATACTTTTGATTCGGATTCCAAAGGTATGTCTACATATTAATTTCAATTCAGTACATTAGTTTCATAGGTCATTAAACATTAATCTTATAAAAAAATAATAATATACATTTTAAAAAGGTCCTTAAAAAAGTCTAATAGATTTCTTGACAGGCATAGATACAAACATATTGGCCAATATATGTAAACACTTTAGGATATACTTGAAACAAGTTGCCACATACCAGGGGGTTCTTGATAAATATTTTTGGGTACACAATATAATCATTCAAAACTTTGATTTATATTATGCATGATTCTCAAAGCTGCAATTGTACTTGTAAAAAAGTATAAAGCAATCTTATTTCAAAACACTCAAGTCTTGATTTTGAAAAAGGGAAATGTAATTTGTTGCACATGTGCCCCTGTTCAACCCTTTCGCTGCCAATGCCTTTTTCTTTTGTTTTTTAACATTATGTTACAATTAGGGATGTCCTGATACCGATGCTAGCATCGGAATCGGGCCCGATACAGGGCATTTTGACAAGTACTTGTACTTGTCAAAATGCCGTGATACATAGCGCCGAAGCTTGCGCTATGATTTTTGTTTTTTAACTTACTGGGAGAGCAGCGGCAAGTCGGCCCTGGTCCGGTGGGAGGAGCTCTCTGTCAGCGCTGGTCCTGTTCTGTCGACACTGAGAACTCATCGACCACGTGCACCTCTGACGTCGCATCCGGGTACTGCCAGTAGGTCACCTTCACATAAGGACCTTCCGCGCATGCGTTGCCACTCACCGAGCCTTACAACCCCACACTGCGCCTGCGTCTCTTTCTCACGGCCGTTAGCTTCTCTAACTACACACAGCTCTTGACTAGTTCAACTACCATGCACTGTGCTTGCGTGCTTTGGAGAAGTTAATGGCCATGAGGGACGCAGGTGCAGTGTGGGGGTGTAAGGCTCGGTGAGTGGCAATGCATGCGCGGAAGGTCCTTATGTGTAGCTGATCTACTGGCAGTACCCGGATGCGACGTCAGAGGTTCTCAAGTTCGATGAGTTCTCAGTGTCAACAGAACACCGGCGACTGCCCAGAGGACCTGTGGGCAGTCGCAGGCCAGCTAAATTAGGACCCCACCTGGAGCTCCTCCCACCAGACCAGCGCCGACTCGCCACTGCTCTCCCCCACAGCGCGACCTCACCAGCGAGGCAACTAACAGTGAGTGATGGCTTGGGGTCCCTCATAAGAACGATTTATTGTATTAGCAGGGGAAAATAGTAAATTATTGTCTGCAGTGTGTACTCTATATGTACCACATATAGAGTACACACTGCAGCAATAGATTTACTATTATCCCCTGTTAATATGAATGGATTAAATCATTTAACCCATCCATGTTAGTCGAGGAAAATTGTAAATCTATTGCTGCAGTGTGTATCGTATATGTAGTACATATATACAGCACACACCTCCACTATACTACAGCAATAGAGTTACAATTTTCCCCTGCTAACATGAATAGGTTAAATCATGATCCATAGTACATAACATGTAGTTGTATTATGGATCATTTAACCTATTCATGTTAGCAGGGGATAATTGTAACTCTATTACTGCAGTGTACTGGAAGTGTGTACCAGGTTAAATGATCTATAGTACACATTTCCAGTACACTGCAGTAATAGAGTTACATTTCTCCCCTGCTAACATGAATAGGTTAAATGATCCCAGAGGTGCATGCATGATCGGATTTGTAATTTCACGACAAGCTGTGTGAAAGCAAATACAAATGTTTTATTGTTTCTAAAACAGTCTTAAAGTTCTTCATAATCATACATAAATTGGCCTAAAATCATTAGTCTGCATTGTTTTTTTTAAAATGTCCCCTGTCCCTTTAAGAAAAAGTATCAGTAATTGGTATCAGGAAGTACATGAGGGGAGGTACTTGTACTTGGTCTTGAAAAAGTGGTATCGGCACATCCCACATTTTAGGTCTGAAAATTACTTCAAACCCCCAATCATATATTTACTGAAAGCCAACACAATGTAGAATAAAATGGTGGGAGTTGCAAATTTTCATGTTGCACGATATTGGTGCAACTCTTCATCAAACCCAAAACTTTAGTGAAAAATTAACTTGTTAATTTTAGTGCCCCAAAACACAATATAAAATACCAATTTTGTTTATAAAATCTAAAAGATGAGGTTACGACATATAAATAAACACCCAACATGCTCTGGTTAAAAATTGTGCGCGTCCAAAAAACGGTGACAAAATTCAGTACCCCAAAAAGTCCATAGGCGATTCTTTAAAAGTCCCTAAAGGTAATCAGTTTAGAGATACGCATAAATATTGTCCCTTTAATTACTGCTATTACTCTGGCGTGCGCGGTAATACCCAACATGTGTAGCGTGATCATAGTTTTCGTGGGGGCTGCGCGCGCGAGCAGAAAAAAATTGCCGTCTGGAGACGGCAACCCGCAGATGTAGCAGTGCCGTCCGTCCGTTTTTTTACTACGGGCGGACGGCAAGAGGTTTAACTATTTTTTTATTTTTACATTTTATTTCATATCAATTTTTTAAAACTGTTTTTTTTGTACAAGCCCCACATGTGATATCATATTGGTGGTGACAGGTCCTCTTTAAGGTGACACTGGGAGTCCAAAAGACTCCTAGTATCACCTTTCCACTGTAAATAAGCTATTGAAGTGCAGATCACACTTCAATAGGTTATTGCTCGGCTTCAGGAGCCGGGCGGTGAGAGCGCAGGGACCGGAAGTGATGTAATACTAGGTCACTCCCGGTCCCATAGAACGGGGAGGAGATCAGTGAATGTACACTGCTCTTCTCCCCAGCTTCCCCCGGCACCCAACATGTCGCTTCCAGGCCCCCAGGAGGGGCAGTGGACCCTGGGAAAACACATCGTGGTCTGTCAGTCGGGCACTTTAGGGCTGCAACCAACTAATCGATTAATCAATAATAAAATCGATAATGGAAATAGTTGTCAACTAGTCTCAATATCAGTTAGTTGGATCCCCTAGCTCTCTCCTCCATGCTGGAAGGAGGGAACAGCAAGCAGTGGGCGTGTGCAATAGCCAGCCTATTGCTGTTGCAATTTGAAATGGACCAGACCACTACCTGCTGTATTTACATTCAGCTGCCGTCTGCTGCCACGTATGACATATCTCATACGTCGGTTGCAGCGGGCCCCTTTAAACAGACTGAAGTTTCAAGGCCATATACAATTACATCTCCAAAGCTGATCCCAACAGAGGATGTTCACACTAGCGAAGAGTCAAACACCTAACCTATGTTTCAACTCTGCATTGCAACCCACTACTTCTCAGAGACCAAACACCATCACTACCATAAGCAATCTAACTGCATGTGTGTATGGGTGTTTGTGTATGGCTGCTATGCATTATTGAAGGATCTCAAATGCAGTGCTTGAATTCTGAACTGGAAAGTAGATAGGAGCATTGAGCAGTCTACATGAGTAAATTTCTTTTCCACTTACAGAGCTAGGTTATTGTTTTTCTTTGAAATAAATATTCATGTAATTTTATTGGTATCTATCTTCATTTTGTACATTTACCAGTAGCTGCCTCATTTCCCACCCTAGGCTTATACTCGAGTCAATACTTTTTCCCAGTTTTTTGTGGTAAAATTAGGTACCTCTGTTATATTCGGGACGGCTTATACTCGAGTATATTACGGTATAAAACAAGGTATACCTTTTAGCATTCAAAAGCAGTTATTGAGCTTCAGGCAAGTAACTGTGCTTTGTCTAAGAGGAGAAATCTGGGAGAATGTCATATGTCTACTTCAGCATTTCCCTCTCTAAAACCGGTGATCACTTTGACTGTAGTATTAAAATTGTAGCAATTCACAAGCTGGCAGCAGAGAGCTAATTTGAAACATGTGTAAAAACAAAAAACATCAAGATTACTGGAAAGGCACCAGTATTTACATCAGTCTAAGTCCAGGAAGTAGATGCTGGCCCTAGATAATATTCAAACAAACATGGTGCTGACCTTCTGGAGAGAAAGACAGATTAAGCCATTGTGAATGATCTTCGACAGGTACTGCAATCAGTTTTTAAAACACAAAATGTCCTATGTTTCCTATGCGTCAGGGAAGTCCGGCGTGTGTTCCAACTGCTGCACGGATCCCTGCACAAACTTTTGCACGTGAATATGCGCATAGGAAGCAGTTTGGTGTTCGCACCATGCATATGCATAAGCATGCTCTGGTATACCTGGCACGGCGTGCACTCCTGTTCCAGCTGTTGGAGCCAGGTGGGCTATTTAATGACGATGGATGCAGCTGCTATAAGACCTTCAGCTGTATCCTGTGCTCTATTGTACTTGTTATTTTGGATCTCCAGTGACTTTGCTCGTGACTTCTGATTCTGCACTTCGCTGCCCACCGGTTGCAACCTGGTCTGTCTGACACTGTGTCTGTCTTACTCCGCCACCATCTGGCCTGCTGATGACTGTTTGGTTCACAAGGTATCCTGCTTCCAG